GCGGCATTCTGGTCATCTGTGAGAGTGACACGACTGTTCGTGTGCAGGTGTATAAGAGTTACATCTTGCCACAGAGCAGACTTCTTCGGAGTGGCATCAATGATGTTTGCGTGTGTGCCATGTTTGACGAAAGACATAATTTAGCGGAAGTCACCACATAATAATATTGGTATACCTACCACCAAATGCGTCTGACTTGGCTGTAATGTTCTGTAATGTGCGGTTAACGCCTTCCTCTGTAAATCTGTGGATCATGGGAGCTAATTAGCTATATCAATAATTAGCTATATAGCACGTGTCTTGTTGAGTAAGTTTGTTAGGTTTGTGTCTGTGCTGTTTTGTATGTGGTCTCCTAAATAGTTATAAATCCCTGCGTATGCCTCGCTGGTTGTGCAAGATTCGGCTCGACTTTTAAACACACAACTCCTGATGTGGTTATTTGCGCGCGTTATCTCAGAATGCTCACCACAACAGATCAGGGAGTTTTGCTACCTGTATATATAAGGTTTTATTATACATTTAATGGACAAACTTCAATGGTGCATACTGGCAATTAAGACGGCAAAATATTTTGAAGAACGATACACGAATTCGTCGTACAACGTGGGCTAAACTGATCAGCATGAAATGCAGCGTTGGGTGATTTTGACGTCCCGGTGACAGTATTAGCGCTCGCTATCTCAGAATGCGCTGCTAGCCATTCCAACATGCACTGCGCGCTATACGACAACAGCAGGTGTTTCGAAGTGTTCGTACTTTTGACATTGCACTTGTTTCTGAAAGTTAAATGTGAACGTTCTATTCTAAAACCCGCACTAAAACCCAAACAACACATCCACATAACTGTCTGTGACGGAAACGACCCAGTTCATTGCTCCATAAATGAGATCATGCGGGTCACAAAAACGCTCCTACGATCTTATAATATCGATACGTTTTGACATATTATGTATGCCGAATGTGTTTAGACAACGTAACTCGCTTGCATACGAAGAGCTCAAGCATATTGAGTAAGTGATGTACTTGAACTGAGCAGTTGCATAGTCATTTAGTGCGGACTGTCGCGTTATGTCGCGTAGAAATGTGAATCAGATCTGGCTTCATTGTCATGAGATAAACAAGCTTTTATTGTTCTGGATAAAAGTGGCTAGTTGCACTAGTCGCTAGTAGTTTAATAGCGGTACTAGCAGTACGGGTAATTTAACTCTATAATGACATTGGGTCAAGCAGCAGTATAATATAAACACGAAACTTTACATGTTTTTAAATAATCATCCACATCGCTGACCGGTTCTTTCACTTGTCAACGACCAATAGAATAATTACATAAAGAATTCATGTTAAAAATTACGACGGTTTATTATATGTCATTTAGTTTCCTTCCATTATGTAAACGTATAGAGGTCAGCTCCGTCATCTATAAATATATTCGTCATCCATATAACTTGAGTTATTCTCAAAGCCGCATTATTAAATATTTAATGTTTTATTGGATAAAATATGTCAAATAAAGTTGATTAAATACAATAATACGCATTAATGAATTTCTCATGGCTATCGCTGCTCAGCTAGTTTATTTGTTGCTATGTTAATTTTACCATATTGGAACAGTAAAGTGCTCCTATAGAATTCCTTAGCCACCAGTCACGATTTCACTTCCTTTAGGTTGTTTTTAAAGATTACGCCAAAATGCGGTAACTTGCTTTTCATGTCTAACCTATAGGCCAAACCTTTCGAGTATTCGACACATAACACATATAATTCACGTAAGTATATCTGGTAAAATCAAGCTAGTGGTTCGAAGTATTAATTTTATGATAACATATCGCGATTAGAATTTATACGTAGACTACAAGTACAATAGAAATATAAAGGTAGTTATTGTCTAACCGTTTTTATATGTTTTTAAGGCGTGATAAATTTATACAAGCAACTGAAGAAGTAAAAGATACAATGAAAATATGGAATGTAAGGGCCAACTTTTAGCTAAGTCTGACTATAGAGGGAGAGTCACGCATGTAATCACATGACTGGTAGTACTTCATACAGGTATGCCAGGTGGCTGGCTGACGTGTGAGGCTGGTGGAGAAGGCAGGCAGCATGCCACAGTGGCAAATATTATGTTTAGTTAGTGGACTCTGCAGGGGCGGATCCAGGATTTTAGGAAGGAGGGGTGCAACCTTTGTAAAAAAGGAGTAATGTATGGGGGCGTTGCTCCAAAATTTTTTTTTACTCTTTAAATTCATTAATTTCACATATATATATGGGTTTTCGGTCCATAAGTTATTAATGTGAGCTTTTGGCGTAGCTGATTGAAATGCGTGCATTTGGCAATAGAATAATGTAACTCATCCAGTGCATCTATACAGGCGACCGTACAGTGGCGCCATGCTGCATGGCGCCGCCACTGTATTGCTAACATCAAGAGTAGATAACATAACATATATATCTTATATTATCTACTCTTGCTAACATCAGTTTAAGAAAGGCAGCGGTTAGTTTTGGACCTAGATTCTCCGTTTTGGATTTGAGCATGGTATGGCTCGACTCCTGGGCCCGACCAATATATATATTCTAAGAAAAACGAGTGCTTGATCGGGTCCGACCACTGATCTCTACTATATTAACTGGATAGCTCTTAGCCTATCAAATGTGACACCACCGCGCCACCGGCCGCCATCTTGCAACCACTCCTTAAAGCTGAATCTGCCGGTCTGTGCCCCACAACATTTCAAATGAAAAATAAGAAAATGCGACTTATTCTATTATTCAAATTAGCATGAAAAAAAACTTTGATCAATACTTAAGAGATCATATAAATATGGATATGTATATATCTAGTATATATATCTATATGTTCTCTTTCATTCTAGCTGTATATATCTAGATATATACATATCCATATTTATATAATCTCTTAAGTATTGATCAAAGTTTTTTTTCATGCTAATTTGAATAATAGAATAAGTCGCATTTTCTTATTTTTCATTTGAAATGTTGTGGGGCCCAGACCGGCAGATTCAGCTTTGAGGAGTGGTTGCAAGATGGCGGCAGGTGGCGCGGTGGCGTCACATTCACGTTGAGCGTGGATAGGCTAAGAGCTATCCAGTTAGTATAGTAGAGATCAGTGGGTCCGACTGAGTGAAATACTTGTCAGATACAGGCCGAGCGGCAAAACATACCGTTTTTTGAATAAGGCAACTTTTGCAAAAAGGGCACTTTGCGTGGGAAGGAGAGGGGGCGCCCCCCCCCCTGGATCCGCCCCTGCTCTGTAGCCATGTGAAGTTAGCGTAGCCATAAAACATGGTAAGTCATAGTTTTCATGCTCATAATACGATACTTAACGTCTTCATTTATGTTAAAGAAATGTTATGTTTTGTTCTTTATTGTCAAAAATGTCAAAATAATATTGGTCCAGTAAAATTTAGTCCGGTCCAGTAAATTTTGCTGGCTTGGTGGACCGAAGGTCCAGTGTTTAGAAATTTCATTCGTGAAGACTGCATGGTCCTCAAAAAGTGCTTCGAAGTCACCCGTCAGACCTGGGATGCAACTTGTGCGGCATCCTCGAGGCATGTTGTTCCTAGATGATTTCTTGATCATCTTTATGAAGGTGTCATAGTTAGTAGGTGGAGCAGGCAGGTGCCAGACTGCATCACCGAGTTCTTTAGCCAATTTCCCCCAATTAGCCTTCTTCAGGTTGAAACGTCGGCGGAAAGGTACCGATCGAGGTGTAACTACGGCGTTAACTTTAAGCCCAATGGGCCGGTGTTGGGAGTGTGGTATTGGGTCCAGGACAACCTTCTCACATTGGCCAGCAATGCTGGTAGAAACAAACACCAGGTCAGGGTTGTATCCACGCCTCCATCTGGAACTGTTGAAAGAGCAGGGGAGCTTTGCGTCATGTATAAGCGACAGCTGATTCACATCTGACCAGCTTTCCACAAGTGCACCATTTTCGTCTGTTTCTGCATATCCCCAGGTAACATTATGGCTATTGAAATCTCCTATAACCACATTGATACGGCCATCAGTAGCCTGGCGAGGAAGGTCGAATATCTCAGGTGGCGGTTTATAAATTATAGACAGAGCTGACAGAGATCCCCATGAGCTCGATGGTAAGAGCTTCAATGTTAGCATCGTCTGATAGAGAAGACTTATCCACAGTTAGCCCATTACGTACAAAAATCGCACTTCCGTATAGATTATGTGGTCTCTCTGCTATAAGGGTCATTCCGGGGATTTGTGGGCGATTGCGTGAAGGTCCGCGTTGTGTCTCCTGAAGGCAAAGAATGTCACATTTGTTTCTCACACACAGGTCAGCCAGAAGATCTTGTTTGGCGCCTGAGAGACCTTCAATGTTGGATGAGATGATACTCAGTGCCGGCCCTGATATTGTGATAAGGGCCCGTGCTGTCGACACTGAGACTTGCCATCTTGTTGGTCATGAGACATAATGAGGTATAGTGTCTACTAGCTGAAACTTGCTGTATGCACTGTAGCTAATGCAGTGCATTGATTCAATGGTAACTTACCTTGGTCAGATATAGTTGTACAAGACAGCAAATTTTAACCAGTATTTTAATGGCTATAGCATCACGAATCAGGAATAAACAGAGAATAAACTCATGTTGTTATCTACTCCTGATAATGTGAATAATTCAACTTAAAACATGGTAAGTCATAGTTTTCATGCTCATAATACGATACTTAACGTCTTCATTTATGTTAAAGAAATGTTATACGAATTTGTTACTTATCTAGACTTTACATTGTTGTTTTAGCTGAGCTTGAGTTATGTTAGGTAATACGCGCACTGTATAAAAGTAGATTCATGTATATGCTGATGTACTGAATATGGAATCGTTTGTAAATTACAGTAATCTAAAGAGCGAAGTAATAAACAACTAAAGCACAAAACCGACTCTCAGGAATTACTGAGGTTACGAGAGTCTAAGCGCTACAACATTACATGTTTTGCACAAGAATTATAATCAGGCCAAATGGAGACAGTCTTAAAGGAAGCTAAATCTGCCGCATCAGATGACTCGGCAGCACCTGACACGAGGGGTGCAGAAAGCGGTCAAGGGACGGACGTATGTGGAGCTGAGGGTCGTGGCGCTCGTCCTAAAAGGCAGACAGAGAAGGGGAGATTATTCTCCATTGAAACTAAAAAGAAAAGAAGAAATAAGACGTTCAGCAAGGTAGACAGCAGGACGGAGCGAATGAAAAAACTTCTAGCTGAACATGTAGAGTATGGTGCTATGAAAGATGAGTACAGCCAATGGATGGCAAGCTATGAAGAGTTTTTCAACGCTCACGACGAATATTGTGCCCTGCTGGATGATGAAGAACGAGATAATTATTACGAAGAATGGTTTAATGAAAGGGACCAGTGCCTACGATCGTTTAAGTCTACAGTTGAAGATTGGTTCAGTCGCAGGAAAAAGAATGTTCGGCTGAAACAGTCGAGTGGGCATTTCAGAGAGGACGACAACCAATCCATTATCAGTGGGATATCGTCAGTAAGGTCTAGGCGGTCAAAGGCCAGCTGCAGCGCATCACTCGCCAATTCCGTATCATCTGCTAGGGTGTTAGCTGAACAAAAGAGAGCGGAACTACTAGCGAGGGTCTCCATGTCAAAGAAGAGACAAGCTTTGGAGCAGGCGAAACTGCAGCTGAAGTTTGATGAAGAGGAGTTGGAGCTTGCTGCAGGGATTGCTATAGAAGAAGCAAAATGTGCCGCACTTAATCGCCTGGAAATCGCAGACAATGCTAGCGTTCAGCAGTCAATGCCGGCCTTGAACCCGAATGCTCCGCAGTTTGCTTCAGTTATGCACAGGCATTTACAGAAACCAGCCTCTGAAATTAAACGGTTTGATGGCAATCTAATGGATTACCGCAAGTTCATGAGACAATTCAACAGCAAGGTGGTCCTCAACACAGATACAGATGAGGAAAGAATGAATTTCCTGGAGCAGTATACGGGAGAAGAAGCCAACAGGATAGTGTCTGGTTTCAGTCACCTGGACGCAAGGCAGGGATATCAGGCAGCTATGAAAGAACTTGAAGAGCGATATGGCGATGTGGAAGTGATAGCTAATGCATTCATTAGAAAAGCCCTGACATGGCCTACGATCAAAGCAGATGACGCCAAGGCATTGGGTGATTTTTCCATCTTCTTAACAGAGTGCGAGAATGCCGTTCTAAGTATAGAAGCTGTGAAAGTACTCGAGTACCCGGATAATATGAGGAAACTCTTGATGAAGTTGCCGTATTACTTCCACGACAAATGGCGAGGTATCGTCCTACAGACAAAAGAAAACCACGGTGTTGTAAAGTTCCACCAGTTGGTACAGCTCGTAAAACAGGAGGCAAAGAAAGCAAATGATCCCATGTATGGGAAGGCTGCACTTAACGAGGCGCACCATAGAAATTACAGTAATTATAGCGAAGCATGCCGCAGCCAGAAAACGTCTAGTTCTGCACGCTCGAGAGCAAGCTTTGCTACTAATATCACTGATGTATACACAGCTAAAGGAAGTTCCTTCAACAGTCCGTGCACTTACTGTGGGGCTGACCAGCATGTTCTTGAATCTTGCCAGCAGTTGGTCATGCTGCCGTCACGAGAAAGAATAGATTTTCTAAGGTCAAAGGGTCTCTGTTTTGGATGTCTTAAGCCTGGACATCAACGGAGGGAATGTCGGATGATAGCATCGTGCTCGCATTGCAATGGACGTCATCCGAGTGTGCTGCATACTTCCTGGACACGACCACCGGTGGATAAGGTAGCCATTCGACCCAATGGCAAGGTGAAGGTAGAGAGAAAGGATGTGGTAGGAGCGTACGTTGCTGCAAATGCCTGTAATCGTCGTATAACCGGTGAAGGAGAGTGTACCATGGCAGTTATACCAGTGAGAGTGAAAATGAAGAATGGCTTGAAATCGGTTGATACGTATGCTTTCCTGGACCCGGGCAGTAGCGTTACGTTTTGTACTGAAGACCTGTTACGTGAGATCGGCGGTAGTGGAAGAAAGATGAAGATAACTCTGGACACGATGGGCGTGCCTCATACGATGTCTACATATACTGTAAAAGGCATTGAAGTCTGTGACCTGCAAGCAGAGTTTGAAGTATGCTTGCCTAAGACATATACGAATGTTAGAATGCCCGTGTCTAAGTGTCACATTCCTACTCAAGTGGACATAGCGCATTGGCCGCACCTGAAAGGTATAAACCTTCCTGAGATTCAGGGCGAAATCGGATTACTCATAGGAAACAATGTTCCTGATGCTTACACTCCACTGGAAATAAGAACAGGTCCTTCTGGCAGTCCACATGCAACGAAGACACGTCTAGGCTGGGTTGTGTGGAATGTAGTGCGTGGAGTAGATGTCACAGCAGTCAGTGAACACCCTAACCGGTTCCTGGTCAACAGAGTCGAAGTTATACGAGAGATGGATGAGATGAAGAAGCTTGATCATCTCGTTAGAAGCTCGATCAATTTTGACTTTCCTGAAAGTATAACTGATGATAAGAAAGAAGACTCGCAAGAAGATAAGAGGTTCAGAGAAAAGGTTAGCAGCTCAATTAGACTAGTGGATGGCCATTATGAGATCCGCTTGCCATTTCGTAAAGATGACGAAGTCCTGCCGAACAATAGAGCTCAAGCAATGCAGCGGCTTAAGAGCCTAAAGAAGAAATTGGAGAAGGACATGCAGTTCCAATCTGACTACAAAGATTTCATGTCCTCCATTCTTGAGAAGGGCTATGCAGAGAAGGTACCTGAAGGGGAGCTGCACAAGAATGATGGAAGAGAGTGGTATATACCCCACCATGGTGTATACCACCCCAAAAAGCCAGGGAAAATTCGAGTTGTCTTCGACTGCACTGCTACACACCAAGGGGTATCACTTAACAGTCGACTGTTACAGGGTCCTGATCTGACCAATAGCCTGATTGGAGTCTTGCTCCGTTTTAGACAAGAAAAAGTTGCTGTAATGGCTGATATTGAAGCCATGTTCTACCAAGTTAAAGTGTCCACGGAAGATACAAACGCTACCAATTCAGTTAAAGCTAAGTCTGACTATAGAGGGAGACTCACGCATGTAATCACATGACTGGTAGTACTTCATACAGGTATGCCAGGTGGCTGGCTGACGTGTGAGGCTGGTGGAGAAGGCAAGGCAGCGTGCCACAGTGGCAAATATGTTAAGTTAGTGTACTCTGTAGCTATGTGAAGTTAGCGTAGCCATAAAACATGGTAAGTCATAGTTTTCATGCTCATAATACGATACTTAACGTCTTCATTTATGTTAAAGAAATGTTATTAAAACATGGTAAGTCATAGTTTTCATGCTCATAATACGATACTTAACGTCTTCATTTATGTTAAAGAAATGTTATACGAATTTGTTACTTATCTTTACATTGTTGTTTTAGCTGAGCTTGAGTTATGTTAGGTAATACGCGCACTGTGTAAACGTAGATTCATGTATATGCTGATGTACTGAATAGGGAATCGTTTGTAAATTACAGTAATCTAAAGAGCGAAGTAATAAACGATTAAAGCAGAAAACCGACTCTGAGGAATTACTGAGTCTAAGCGCTACATGGAACATAAGATATTTGTTAATTAACATGTACTTTTAAAACATATGCCGGTAACTGTCAATGGGTACCGATAATCCTTACTATAAACAGGCTAATCTTGTGTGTGTGTGTGTGTGTGTGTGTGTGTGTGTGTGTGTGTGTGTGTGTGTGCGTGCGTGTGTGCGTGCGTGCGTGCGTGCGTGCGTGCGTGCGTGGTTTTTTTAAATCGCTTTTCTCCGTGATTGTTCACTCTAGGATAGCCATTAGATGTAACCTTGCACGCTGAATGTCATGGGCACATTAGATTTGACCTCCGAGGTCATCCAAGCCAAAACACGGGGGAAACGGGAAAATATACTGGCCCCTGCAGCCAGCGCTCCAGCAGCAGCGGCAAATACTGGCCCTGCTTGTAGCGCGGCCTGCAGCAGCCAATACTGGCCCTGGGCGCGGCTGCAGCAGCAGCAGCGCAGCAGCAGCCAGCAAATACTCGCCCTGCTGCATGCGCGCCCTGACCGGCGGCGCAATTACCTGGCCCTTGCTGCAGCGCGCCCATGCAGCGCGCGCCCATGCGCAACAATTTACTGGCCCGTGTCGCAAGCAAGATTCAAACAACAGTCGAATAGTGCGGCGAGCCAAACCCGATTTCTGGGCGGAACTGCCACTGAGAGTCTGACCGTTTTTCTTTCTTTGTGATTTTTGTTAGACTAGGTGTCATGGTCGTTCCTTTCTAGGTAGATTCGACCATCCCGTCCTCTAGCAATTTTCTGTATTAACCTTTTGTGTGCGAGAGCGTCAACGCTCAAAAATTGGCCGAAAATTAGGCACCGTGTGCGGGAACAAAAGTCTACTAAGATCTTCGTTGCTGTTTTTAAGCTAATGGCATGTGACACTCAAATGTTGGCTATTTAGCAGCTCTTTCTACCTGATTCGATTGAATAATCGAGGTCACTAGAGGTCAAAAGGTCACACATTATCTGAAACCTTTCTCGCAAATCCTGAATATTGCTTTTCTAGCTCGCCGCTGCCTTGGCTGCCAAGACACACAGGCTCTATTGGTGCTTTTTACCCCTAAATTGGTTCCAAGGAGATGCCCTGCTATCATTTTACCGGCATGTTCACAATATGTGTTGATGTTGGGCGACAAACTCTTACCATAGAGACAAGCTGATGTGCTGAAATACTGTTTTTATTACCAAAGTTGATAACGCTACAGTAATCGGATCTGTCGGATCTAGAGCAACCCTTAATTGCTCACGTACCTATATTTGCACACTGGGGAAGTTCAAGGAGGTTAGTCTGGATTGGTGGCATAATTTTGCCAACTTAACAGGGTCAAAGGTCATACAAGTCAAGTTAACTGCAGTCAGTTGTTTTTATTAACAGACTGGCATCATTTTAAAATACCAGCCCACTAGGTTTTCGTGTTTTTTTAAAACTAATTTCATTATACGATTGATCTTTTCATAAGTAGGCATGACTCATGTCAAATGTTGGCAGCTCGTCTACTTTGTCTTACAGGCAAATTAGAATATGGGGAGTCCATTCTCTCGGTAAGAAGTGTTTCATATCCAACTCTAACCATAGCCCTCTCTCGCCTCAATGCTGTAAGCAAGCTCTCCAACAGTTGTTATCCGCCAGAGCTAGAGATGGTGCAATTGACCCATTGGCCCTGCAACCACCCAGAAGCGGATCTGTATCGTAATAACTGGGCAATTGGCCAAAGGAGGTCAATGTTCCAGGACTCCGTTATTGGAGACGATGGAGGAATTTGAAACAAATGGCCAGACAGAGGTTTTCTGGCCATTCCCAAGAGCGGTTGTTCATGGACTTGTGAGGAAGCAGGAGTATCCATATGGGACACAGATTACGGACCTTTAAGATGCATTTATGCACGGGTCATTGGAGACTGCATTCCACTTCGCGGGATATTTGATATTAAGCAATGTTCTCTCCACATGAACTCTGCACCAGTGTCCACATTGATGTTTCCCACTGACATGTGGATGAGGCATTGCCACAACCAAGTCCAGCTAAAGAAGAGTCCGAGGCCGCTCAAGTTAGAGTACTCGAGTTAGAAACAAAAGAACAGGCGATGACTGTGTGATGGATGATGACGGTTCTGCTTTGCTTTGGCGTGATCTACTGCGCCGAAGGCGCTCGTCAGTTGAGGATTATGTTTCAACATGTGAAGGAAGTATTCAAAGACTCTTGAAGGTTATGAGGTGTACCTAGTTATTCGTGTTCATTACAGAGATTTTAGCCGACGAATCTTGTGGCCAGGGGAGGAGAGAGCGCCGGCCGCCAGTGGTAGAGTCTTCCATCTGGCAAGCTTTAAGACAACCCTGCCAGCCACGAAGTTGGAGCTGCTGTCCTGAAAACAAGAACAGATCATCAGATTCATCTATGTCATGAACTGTCTCAGGACCAGGATTTCACACAACCGGCCCCGTGCATACACCCGCTGTTATTCGACAGCGGAAGAGCAACCACTCCACTTTAAATTCAATGATGGATCAGAGACGTCATGACCTCACCAATGACCCATGAGGAGCGGGCACTATTATTGTCAACTCAGTATTGCGGAGCTGCAGTAGAGATTTGGGGATCATATGAAGTGAATGTCTGATGACCACACGCATGTGTTTGTCCTACTGTCTCTATTATGATCTCGAAGTGACCACTCAAGTGAGTCCCAGTCATTTGGAATTACCAGTGAGAGGTGGCGTAGGACGGTGATTTGACTTTGGTGAGGACAGCAAAACATACCAGATGCTCGGCTCAACAGTCTTCTTCAAGCTCACGCCCTTTCAGGTTGCGACACGGTTGCAGCTACTTCGAAAATTGGTAACTCGAAATATAAGTCAGAGTTCTCTAGGGCTGCACCGTGTGTCTGCAGGTTGGATGCCGTAAGCTGCCTGAACTGCTGAGTCTACAACCAGGCACACATTCGTCTTGCAGACGTTTGCGTTGGCCAGAAAAATGGACATGTCACCGGCGTTGGATTCGCTTTGGTCTGCTAAAATGGGGCAAGGGCGGTCACCTGTCTCCAAACTATGTTCACTGCCACCTACGACTGAGAGATGATAAGGTGCACACTACAAGCATTTCTTTGGCGATTCACTCAGGAAACACCCCTCTGTTGACCTGAGGAATTTGGCCATGGATGAAGGAAACAAGGACAGCCAAGACTACTCTACACCTGTCAGCTTTCAGAACTGCCTTTTGTGCCCCAGGAATATATCGCTTCGCTTGTAAATGTGGGTTGTTCTGGTGTCGTCCCTGCCTCAAGAAAGTTGTTCATGCGAGCAAAGTATTGCGTCAGCTTAACCATGCACGATGTTTTGTGCTTGCTACGCATTGGCTTGTCTTAGGCGAGCGCTGATGGCTAGAGTTGGGAACTGAACACTTTTACAACAATGCGGGACTACCATTTCTTTTAGTTCGCTGGCGATAGTTAGACGAAGTGCCACATTTTGAGACATAGGTGCCTTAGTTTATGAAAATATCAAGATTCATGAGATTTGCATTTAAAACGAAATATAATGGACTACCTATGGGCCATGGTCAGCGGCGGGGCCAGGACAGCCAGTCGTTATAAAATGGAATGCCGTCAGTTTAATTCAAAACACTGACTGCCAGTTAACTTGTGTACTTGTATGACCTTTTTGACCCTGTAAGCTTTGGGGCAAAATATGCTCACAATCTTAGGGATAGTCCTCTTGGCTTTCCCATTGCCATATTGTGGGTATCGTGGTTCAGCCATTGGTTGCTTCTAGATGCGACTATTCTGATTACTGTAGCGTTATTCACTTTTTGGTATAAAACGCTTTTTTAGCATTCACTTGATCTTTCTTTTTGTAATAGGTTTGGTCACCTTCAACATATTTTGAACATGGGGCGGTTTCATGATAGCCAGGGCATCTCCTTGACAATTTAGGGGTAAAAAGCACCATTTAGAGCTGTTCGTGGCCAAGACAGGCGGTTGCTAAAGCGCATATTTAGATTTCGATGGAAGGTAAACATTTGTACCTTTTGAACTTTAGTGCCTTATTATTCACATATCATTAGACAGACGCTCTTAATACCACATTTTGAGGTGGTCACATGATCTATTAGCTTACAACAACGATCTATAGACTTTTTGTTTCCCCACCCCTATTTTCGCCATTTTTTAGTTGGACCGCTCTTCACACAAAAGGAGTTAACTATACGAAAATTTGCAAGGGTCGAACGGCGTGGTATCCACCTAGACAAGTGTAGACCAGACACCTAGCTCTCAAGAATCAGCAAAGCAACCACTTTAACTTCAGTGCAGGGTTGACCCATGGCTACCCGGACTAAAAACAGGCTTCAGGCACTGACTTGCCTTTACTGTAACTCAGTAGCAGTAGATATGCATCAAATAAATCGTATACATAAGCTAGATATACATAGTAATAGATATAGGTAGTAGAGAGATAGATTGCATACATACATACCTACATACATAATTATTTTCGTACGTACGTACGTACGTCGCACGCCAGCCACGCACGCACGCACGCACGCGACGCACGCCACGCCGCACGCACGCGCGGCACGCCGCAAAACACACACACACCCACATACACCACACCACTCACACCACACACACCACCACACAATCCCACACACACACACACACACCATAATACATACATACTCATCATTACATACATCACATACATACATACATCTACGTAACTACCATAACATACCTACCATACTACGATTAAATCATACATACATACATAAGACATACATATACATACATACATCTACCATACCATACATATTAGCATACTAACAGTCGATAGTGGATTATGTAATATACTAGGATATCTATATGAGGAGGAGAGGAGAGAGAGAGAGAGAGAGAGAGATGAGAGCAGAGAAGAAAAGAGAGGGGAGCGAGAGAGAGAGAGAGGAGAGAGAGAGAGATTGACAGATAGATAAATAGATAAATATATAGATAGATAGATATATAGATAGATATTTTTTGGGTATTTTTCTTTCAACCAAGTGGTCACCAACTGAGCGTTTATTTCCCGGGCAACACCGGGTTTTATTGTTTCTGTTTTCTTTTCAGTTGCATGAAATATTTAACTTCAACTGTGTCACTTACATGAAGTTTATATTTTAAGGCAAGATTTGGTGGTTGTACGGGTATATCTGCTAGTATAACTAAATCAGAATATAACGGGTTGAAATTGGAAAAAACGTGAATAAATGACAAAACTTGCGTAACCGCTTTTCGAGATCGGCTCATGTGAGATCAGACACGTCATGTTCCCTCTCAAGGTCATTCTGAAATTGAAGAGTTAAAATTGTTGTTTTGTGTCGACCCTCTAATTATAAATCTGTTGTTTACACTAACCATTATTTAAAGAATAACATCATAGACAAGACTGTCTGTTATTTTAAACATCTCGTCAGCAAATTCAACCGACATTTGTCGTATGCTAAAGACGACATGGTAGAGTATTTGTCGTAGTTGAAGTTTGTCGTGAGGAATTCGCGTGTGCTTTTCCTCTGCTGTAATGGAAGACAATGAGCACGGCCGATCATACGGCATTAAAGCAAAGAGTGACATTTGCCGCACTCGCAGCGAAACCTGGGGCTAATGCGCGTTTTCCGGTTCTAAACATTAATAAGTGAAAATTTAGAGTACACGGTAAATGTCACGCGTTGAAATAGATGTTTACCAGTCGGCTGTGCGCTCACCCTTGTTCTCAGCTGCGGTCTGTTCTGCGAGCATTCTCCGTAGAAAGTTAAACATCTTCTGCCTGTGGTCGTTGTCGTTGAACGATGGCGGTGAGTCGTCCTGATTCAGGGACGCTTGAAGAGAATGAAAGCAGACGAGAAGAATGTCAGACGGTCATTTTTACCGCGCTTGTTGTACGACTGCAAGTTGCTTGGCACGTGCGCATCTTTACTCGAAAATGCATACAAACAGTGGGAAATGACCAACGCGCAACAAACTTCCAAAACGTTATAAAACAAAACGCTATGATGAGATCTAAAACGCTTGCCAAATATTTCGATTAAATTAATAGACATTCTGACGCATTGTGATGTCATTGGGCTATTGAATTTATGCTTTCGTACATTTCTATTGTTAACTATTCATGAAAAAATTAATAAGAAAGACCTTACTGACAGTTTCCGTTCCGTATTAAGTTGTTTCTAACAGTGATTATATATTGAACTTTCTATAATAGTATTCTTAAACACGTGTACTTACAGATCATGTCAATTGGTACGTGATCCGCGATTGTGTTTTCATCGCGTTTGCCATGTCCCTTCAGACCGGTATCTGAACGATAGAATGACTACATTGTAGACGCTTCGCGACATCATTATATATACTAATGACTTACGAATTATTAATAATTAAAGTATCTGTGTCTGGTATTTGCCATTAGGCGCACTACGTTTCGATAGTGTGTTTGTTCGTTGTTCATGTTCGATTTACTGTTTCATACGAACTATACTCGAGCCCCGACTCTCACGACACACGCTTACCTACACGTCCATAGAATAAAATAATAGTAAATAAAAAAGAATTGTATTAACAACCAACGTTTTAATGTTTATGTACACTATGTCGCCTGATAATCCACGTGAATGTCGTTCAATTACTGCTCAATAACACATAATGTCACCACACTCACACCACTGAACAGAAACGAACAAACGCATGTTAAAAAAGATCTAATAAACAGTGGCGTATGTGCGGTACGATTGTCTGTTTTAGAGAAGTATTTGAATGGAATTTCCGTGAAATTACCAGACAATACAGAGTACATAAACATCATGATTTTGGTAGTAAATGCAATTTGTGTTTATTTGCTATCATTCTATTATTGAGATGACCGATATGCCTGTGTATAGGCCAGCTCGTTACGTGGGCAAAAATTAATATGGTCCGAAGCTGAACGGTCAAAATTGAATGTGGTCTGGAACAAAAATGCTTCCGTCGAATAGGTAGTCCGAAATATATTACGCGTTGGGAATAGTTACCCTTTCTCACAAAACATGCAGCAGAATTATACATATACGCTTATAATGATTATAATGTGAGTTTGCTGTTTTAAAAGTATGGACACTCTACGAGAGTTTAATTAAACAAATATAAGACGATAAACACCAATTTATTCCAGCAATAGATTCAAAATGAGTGACAAAGTTGACTCGTGAATACACTTCACGGATTAGCTGGTGAATACGGTTACCTCCGGCATCTTACAGCCCTCTTAGTCTTCACTAATAATTAGATAATAGCTGGCTAATTAGATTGTTTGTTTGACAGAATGAACTTCTTTGACAGTCTTACTCCATTGCGTGTGGTTATTTGATCATGCATGGGGATTTTTTCAAAATTATCACACAATGGTTTTATTAACAATTAATAATCACGGAGTTGAAAAGAATAACATCATACAAATATTTCACAGTATAACAAGCAGTCACTGAGTGATTTAAACATAATTAGTGATTAAACATCGCGTAGTGCCACCTGGTGGCGATAACGTGGACAAGAAATGCGTTTTGTCGCCTGTAATGTATAATCAGTCAGTGAGCTTATTTCGCTACAACTTGACATATCAACTAAACTGTCAAAGAATAAAAATTACAAATGTTATAATTTTAGGGGGACTTACTATAGACAATCCATTGAGCTCTCTTTGGCAGGATGTAGTAACCTATATGATAAAGAAAGTTAGCTTTAATCATTAAATAAAATAAAAACTTTATAGAAAATAGGAGGCAAACGGTAGGAACATTTTATTTACTGATCAAAAATTCAACATTCACTTATATTAAAAAATATTTACCCAAATATTTCATGGGATATCATCATAATTATTAACAATTAAAAGCGCAATGAGTGTAACGGGCGCAAATGCCCTAGAATAGCACGGCGTCGTAGTGTCAAAGGGTAGCAGAAGGAATGGCGTCAGCCATAACACAACTCAGCAGTAGTTAATGTTACATCATGATATATAAGGCGCTACTATATATAACATCAAGAGCGTATAAAGAAGGCCTTCTTTATCTGCTCTTGATAACATGCGTTGTATGTACACTAGTTTTATCGCTATTCGGCGATGAACATTCGACGTAGGCGTTTGCAAAATACGTTAATTATAAATGGGACTTCGACTTATGTCGTGTATATTTTGTTAACTTAGCATGTACCACGACTAAGATATAATTTCTCAGAAAACGAGTCTAAATGTTGCAGAAATGTTAAGCGGCAATATTATTGATGTGTAAGCATACCCTTAGCACCGTCCACTTCGTTTTCGGTTTTGATCCATCGATCATGCTGACGACAAACAGAAATTATGTGAATGTTATTTATTTACTGCGTCCAACACGTAAACGTTTACAATAGTAATGTTCCATGTAAATCGCATACATTTAGTTGCACCTGCGTTGAAACGTGTAAATTCTACTATCGATAATCGTAAAAATCGATTCTTTTCTTGTATAAATAAACCAGTAAATACTTGTACAAAATGTCAACTTATTAAATTGAGAATTTAACCAATTCGCCATGATCCTTTTATAAAATGCAAGTTATAACTTTGACGAATTTGACCCATTCGTAATGTTATATATATAAACTCAATAATACTCGATTAGAAGAATACGATGGAATAAATCAGATTTAACACGTACGGGTTGCGCTGTCGTCCTTGGTGGTGACGTCATTAGGAGAACAGCCACGCACAACAGTAATGCTCTCAAAATATGTTCAGACATTCTATCTCGGGGTATCGTTGCTGCTTTAATATTTCTATCGTCTGCCTGCGGAAGCGAAGGCGGGGAAAAGGTCGTCATTATCGTATTATTAAATCGTCGTCGTTATTAAAAGTCGTCATTATCGTAGATAGGCTGTCGGCCGTGCTCGCATCTCACTCAAGTAAATTTCTTGGCCGCCTCATCGTTTATCAATTCTTAAATGCAATTAGCGGAGAATGAGAGCTCGCAAACGCTCGCAAACGCCATCCGCCCCTCATCGACAAATGTCATCATGCTAATCTGCAGATAGATAGATAGATAGATAGATAGATAGATAGACGCATGGATAGATAGATAGATAGATAGTTGCCTTGGCCAAGAACAGGCTCTAATGGTGCTTTTTACCCCTAAATTTGTTCAAGGAGATGCCCTGCTATCATTTTAAACCGCCCATGTTCAAATATGTTGAATGTTGACCAAACTATTACAAAAGAAAGACAAGTGATGTGCTAAAATAGCTGTTTTTATTACCCAAAAGTTGATAACGCTTACAGTAATCGGATCTGTCGATCTAGAGCAACCATATTGCTCCACGTACCACATATTGCAATGGGGAAAGTCAAGAGGCTTAGTCCTAGATTGTGGCATATTTTGCCAAACTTACAGGGTCAAAGGTCATACAAGTACACAAGTTAACTGCAGTCAGTTGTTTTGATTAACAGACTGGCATCATTTTAAATAACCAGCCCATAGGTTTCGTTTTTTTTAAATAAATTCTCATTAATACTTGATCTTTTCATAAAGTAGGCATGCTCTATGTCAAATGTTGGCACTCGTCTACTATTGTCTCAGGCGAAATAAAGAATATGGTAGTCCCATTTTTGGTAAGAAGTGTTTCAGTTCCAACTCTAACCATCAGCCCTCTCTAGAACAATCAATGCTGTAGCAAGCACAAAACATTGTTATCCGCAGAAAGCTAGAGATGTGCATTGACCCCATGGACCCTGCAAACCACCCAGAAGGGATAGTATCGTAAATTAACTGGGCAAATTGGCAAAGCTGAGGTCAATGTCCAGAACTCCGTTCATATTGGAAAGAAACAGATGGAGGAATTTGAAACAAAATGGCCAGACAGGTTTTATGGAACCATTCCCAAGAGGGTTGTTACAATGACTGTGAGGAAGCAGGGAGTATCCATTGGGGACAACAAGATTACGGACTTAAATGCCATTTATGCACGGGTCATTGGACTGCTATCCACTTCGCGGGATATTGATATTAAGCATGTTCTCTCCCATGAACTTGCACCAGTGCCAACATTGATGTTTACCACTGATGGGATGAGGATTGCCACAAACAAGTCACAGCTAAAGAAGAGTCTCCAAGTAGAAGTATCGAGTAGAAAAACAGGCATGACTGATGTGATGGTGATGGACGGTTCTGCTTTGCTTTGGGTGATCTACTGGCCAAAGGGTGGTACAGTTGAGGATTATGTTTCAAATGTGAAGGAACGTATTCAAAGACTCTTGAAGGATTATGAGGTGTACCTAGTATTCGACCATTACAGAGATTTTAGCACGAAATCTGTGGCCAGGGGAGGAAGAGAGGCCGGCGCCAGTAGAGTCTTCCATCTCAAGCTTAAGACAACCCTGCCAGCACAGAAAGTTGGACTGACTGTCACTGAAAACAAGAAACAGATCATCCAGATCATCTATGATGAACTGTCTCAGGACAGGATCTTCCACACAAACAGCACCGGCATACACAAGCTAGTTATCACAGCGGAAAGCAACACTCCACTTGAAATTCAAAATGATGGGATCAGAAGACGTCATGACCTCACAATGACCCATGAGGAAGCGGACAATATTATTGTCCAACAAGTATTGCGGTGCAGTAGAGAAGGGAAATCCATTAAAGTGATGTCTGATGACACAGATGTGTTTGTCCTACTAGTCTACTATTATGATCGAAGTGACCACAAAGTCCCAGTCATTATGGAATTACCAGTGAAAGGTAGGACGGTGATTGACATTGGTGAGACAGCAAAAAAACACCAGATGATCGCTCAAAATCTCCTTCAAGCTCACGCCCTTTCAGGTTGCGACACGGTTGCCACATACTTCGAAATTGGTAACGAAACTGTAATCAGAGTTCTTAGGGCTGGCCACACCTTGTCTGCAGTTGGTGACGTAACTGCTGAACTTGCTGATGTCTACAACCAAGCCACAACATTCGTATCAGCTTGCTATGGCAAGAAAAATGGACATGTCACAGGTTCGCATTCAGCTTTGGTCTGCTAAAAATGGCAAGGGCGTCACCTCGTCTCCCAAACTATGTTCACTGCCACCTACGACTGAAGAATGTAAAACGTGCACACTACCAAGCCATTCTTTGGCGATCACTTCAGGAAAACAATCCCCCTCTGTTGGACCTAGAGGAATTTGGATGGATGAAGGAAAAGGACACAAAGACACTCACACCTGTCACGCTTCCAGAAAATGCCTTTTGTGCCCCAGAATATATCCTTCGCTTGATGAAATGTGGTTGTTCTGGTGATCGTCCATGCTCAAGAAAGTGTTCATGCAGCAAAGATATTGGTCACTTACCATGCACGATGTTTTGTGCTTGCTACAGCATTGGTTGTTCTAGAGAAGGCTGATGGCTAGAGTTGGAACTGAAACACTTCTTACCAAAAATGGGACTACCATATTCTTTATTTCGCCTGAGACAATAGTAGACGAGTGCCAACATTTGACATAGAGCATGCCTAGTTTATGAAAATATCAAGTATTAATGAGAATTCATTTAAAAAAAAACGAAATATAATGGAGCTACCTATGGGCTGGTTATTTAAAATGATGCCAGTCAGTTAATCAAAACAACTGACTGCAGTTAACTTGTGTACTTGTATGACCTTTGACCCTGTAAGTTTGGCAAAATATGCCACAATCTAGGACTAAGCCTCTTGACTTTCCCCATTGCAATATGTGGTACGTGGAGCAATATGGTTGCTCTAGATCGACATATCTGATTACTGTAAGCGTTATCAACTTTTGGGTAATAAAAACAGCTATTTTAGCACATCACTTGTCTTTCTTTTGTAATAGGTTGGTCAACATTCAACATATTTGAACATGGGCGGTTTAAAATGATAGCAGGGCATCTCCTTGAACAAATTTAGGGGTAAAAAGCACCATTAGAGCCTGTTCTTGGCCAAGACAGGGGTGCTAAAAGCAATATTTAAGATTTCGAGGAAGGTAAAACATTTGTAACCTTTTGACCTTTAGTGACCTTATTATTCACCTATCATTAGAAAGAGCTCTTAAATACCAACATTTTGAGTGGTCACATGATCTATTAGCTTTAAAAACAACAGATCTACTAGACTTTTTGTTTTCCCCACCCCTAATTTTTCGCCAATTTTTTAGTTGACGCTCTCAACACAAAAGGGTTAATATAGAAAATTGCTCAAGGGTGACGGGTGGTCATCCACCTAGAAAGTGAAGACCAACACCTAGTCTACAAGAATCAGCAAAGAAAAAACTTTAACTCTCAGTGCAGGGTATGACCCCATGGCTCCCGGACTAATTGGAACATTAGACTGGAACAACAAGTCGTTGAGAACGAGTTGGAATCAGCCACGGCGACGTTTGGTGTCAGTCTAGTACATACAAGATGGCGATTGTCATTCCCAGGGCTTGCAGTGCACTGAACGTAATGCAACGAACAACAACATGAAACAAGAAAACAAGTACGGCATTCTGCATACTAGGTCTCTCTCTCTCTCACACACATACACTAACTCTCTCTCTCTTATCTAATTCCTATCTATCTATCTATTGCTATCCTGTCTGTCTATTATCTATCTATCTATCTATCTATCTATCATCTATCTTATCTATTATCCTATCTATCTATCTATCTATCTATCTGATCTTACTCTATCTATCTATCTTACCTATCTATCTATTATCTATCCATGCGTCTATCTAATCTATCTATCTATCTTATTATCTATCTGCAGATTATGCATGCATTGAGATTTGTCGATGAGGGCGCCGGATGCTGCGTTTGCGAGCTGTTTGCGAGCTCTCAGTTCTCGCCTAATTGCCATTAAGAATTTGATAAACGATAGGCGGCCAGAAACTTTACTTGAGTGTAGCGATGCTGAGCACGGCCGACAGCCTATCTACGATAATGACGACTTTTAATATCGCGACGACCTTTATAATACGATAATGACGACCTTTTCCCGCCTTCGGCTTCCGCGGCAGATCGATAGAAATCATTAAGAGGCCAGCAACGATACCCGAGATAGAATGTTCTGAACATATTTTGAGAGCATTATCCGTTTGTGCCGTGGCTGTTCTCCTAATGACGTTCACCACAAGGACGACAGCGCAACCCGTTACGTGTTAAATACCTGATTTATTCATCGTATTCTTCTATCGAGTATTATTGACGTTTATATATATAACATTTACGAATCGAGTCATTCGTCAAGGGTTATAAGCTTGCATTTTATAAAAGGATTCACTGGCGAATTGGTTAAATTCTCATTTATAGATTCGACATTTTGTACAAGATATTTACTTGGTTTATTTTATTACAAGAAAAAGCAATCGCCATTTTTACGATTATCCGATTAGCTAGAATTTACAGTTTCAACGCAGCGTGCAACTTAAATGTATGCGGATTTAACATGGAACATTATATTATAAACGTTTACGTGTTGGGACGCAGCTGAAATACAATAACATTCACTAATTTCGGTTTTGTCGTCAGCATGATCGATGGATCAAAACGCAAAACGAAGTGGACGTGCTATAGGCGTATTGCTTACACATCAATAATATATGCCGCTTAAACATTTCTGCCAACATTTAGACTCGTTTTTCTGCAGAAATTATTATCTTAGTGTGCGGCGTACATTGCCATAAGTTAAGCAAAATATATACACGACATAAGTCGAAGGTCCCTTATTTTTCTATAATTAACGTTTTGCAAACGCCGAGCGTCGAATGTTCTGGGTCATCGGACGAATAGCGATAAAACTAGTGTAATACAACGCCATGTTATCAGAGCCAGATAAGTAAGCGCCTTCTTTTATACGCTTCTTTGATTGTATATATAGTTAGCGCCTTATATATCATGAATGCTAACATTAACTACTGCTGAGTTGTGTTATGCTTGCACGCATTCCTTCTTGTACCTTTGCATAACGACGCCGTGCTTATTCTATTTTTTTTTTTTTGCTTTTTTTTTTTTTCTTTTTCGGGTTTGGCCCCGTTACACTCATTGCCGCTTCTTAATTGCTTTATTATGATGAATATCCATGGTAATATCTTTGGGGCGTAAATATTTTTTAATATAAGTGAAATGTTGAATTTTTTGTTAGGTAAATAAACATGCTTCCTTTACCGTTTGCTCCCTATTTTCTATAATAGTTTTTATTATTATTTAATGATTAAAGCTAACTTTCTTTGATCATATAGGTTACTACATCCTGCCAAAAGAGAGCTCAATGGGATTGTCTTAGTAAAGTCCCCCTAAAATTATAACATTTAGCTAATATTTTATTCTTTGAACAGTTTAGTTGAAGGTTTGATCAAGTTTGCTAAGCGAAATAGCTCATGACTGATATTAGTACATTACAGGCGAAAAACGCATTTCTTGTCCCGTTAATCGCCACCAGGTGGCACTACGGCGATTGTTTAATCACTAATTATGTTTCAAATCACTACAGTGACGTAGCTTTGTTTACTGTGAAAATTTAGTATGATGTTATTCTTTTCAACTCGTGAATTCATCTAATTGCTTTATAAAACCATTTGTGATTAAATTTTGAAAAATCACCAATGCATGATCAAAATACCACACGCAATGGAGCTAAGGACTGCTTTCAAAGAAGCTTCATTCTGCTCAAGAACAAACAATTAATTAGCCAGCTTATTATCTAATTATTAGTGAAGACTAAGAGGGCTGTAAGTGCGGAGGTGAACCTAATTCACCAGCTAATCCGTGAAGTGTATTCACGAGTGTCAACCTTTATGTCACTTCATTTTTGAATGCTTTATTGCTGGAATAAATTCGTGCTTTATTCGTGCTTATATGTTGTTTAATTAAACCTCTTCGTAGAGTGTCCATAATATTTAAAAACAGCAAACTCACATTATAATCATTATAAGCGTATATGTATAATTTGGCTTTGCATGTTTGTGAGAAAGTGGTAACTATTCCCAAGCGTAACTATATTTCGGACTACCGATTCGACGGAACCATTTTTGTTCCAGAACCACACATTCAATTTTTGCCGCTTTACGTTCGGACCATATTATATCTTTTTGCCCCACGTACACGAAGTGTGCTATTACACGGACATATCAGGTCATGCTCAATAATGAATTATACAATTAACACAAATTGCATTTACTACCAAAACATGATGTTTATGTACTCTGTATTGATCTGGTAATTCTCTATCGTATGATAATCCATTCAATACTTCTCTAAAAAAGACAATCGCTACCGCACATACGCCAGCTGTTTATTAATCTTTTTTTAACATGGCGTTTGTTCGTTTCTGCTTCAGTGGTGTGAGTGTGGCTGACATTATGTGTTATTGGCCACAGTAAATTTGAACGACATTCACGTGGATTATTCAGGCGCGACATACGTGACATAAACATTAAAAACGTTGGTTTGTTAATCAATTCTTTTTTATTTACTATTATTTTATTCTAATGGGACTAAGGTAGCTTGACCGCCGTGAGGCGTTGTGTCGTTGCAGAGTCGGGAGCTCGAGTATTAGTTCGTATGATGAACAGTAAATCGAACATGCAAACAACGAAACAAAACACGCACTATCGAAACTCGATAGTGCCGCCTAATGGCAAATACCAGGTACCAGATACTTTAATTATTAATATCGTACAGTTCATTAGGTATATATATATTGATGTCGCGATAGCACGTCGTTAACAATTGTAGGCATTCTATCGTTAGGATACCGGTCTGAAGGGACACTAGGCCAAAACAGCAGCTGAAAACACAACTCGCGGATCACGTACCAGATGACATGATCTGTAAGTACACGTGCTTCATAAGGAATATATTATAGCAAAGTATATCTATAATATCCGACTGTTTAGAAACAACTTACATAGCGGAAGCGCGAAACTGATCAGTAAGGTCTATTTTTCATTATTTTTCATGAATACGTTAAACAATAGAAATGTACGAAAAGCCATAAAATTTCATAGCAATGACAATCACAATGGCGTTCAGGAATGTCTATTAATTATAAATCGAAATATTTTTGGCAAGCGTTTTAGATCTCATCATTAGACGTTTTGCTTTTTATAACGTTTTTGGAAGTTTTGTTGCGCGTTGGTCAATTTCCACTGTTATGTATGCCATTTTCGAGTTAAAGATTCGCCACGTGCCAAGCAACTTGCAGTCGCGTACAACTAAGCGCTCGGAACAAATGACCGTCTGACATTCATTCTCGTCTGCTTTCATTTCTCTTCAAAGGTCCCTGAATTCAGGACGAACTCACCGCCATCGCCTTCAAACGGACAACGACCGACAGGCAGATGATTGTTATAACTTTCTACGGAGAATGCTCGCCAGAACATTGGACCGCAGCATGAGAACAAGA